CAACACTGAGGGTTGCGATCTGTTGCCGGACACGGAAAAAGACAAAAAAGACAAAAAAAAACAAAAAAAAAGATAGAGATGATGCATTCCACCAGAGAAAGACTACGTTTTTGGGTGGAGTAGCACATGGCAGAGTAGATCTCAGAACCTATCAGAAAAGTTTTTAAGACTACAAAACGTTGTCCTTTTGTATCAGGTCATCTTGTCCCTTATTCTGACTGGAAGAAAAGATTATATTTTAATCATGTGGGTGTAAGATGGAATCAAATTAAGCACAATTATGTTAATTAAAAAATTTTTTCTTTTGTATGTTATACTGATTTTTATCCAGCATTTGTCCTATCCAATTTATTCCTATTTTTCTTAAATATGATTATATATGCAAAACCGTACGGAATATAATAAATCCAGCAGTGTTAAACTCTACTTTGTCTTAGAATGTTCTTTCAGTCTAGGAATGCAAAGATGGTTCAACATTTGAAAATCTACTTAGTAGTTAAATGAGAAAAATCCTAAGATCTCAGTAGATGCAAGACATTTTTTGAAATTCAGCATCCATTCCTGATTTTAAAATACATAGTAAGCGAGGAATAGATTTCCTTTAACACATGTTTATTAGAAACTCACGTTATCTATGTCCCTCTGTTTCCTCATCTCCGAAATGGGGATAATGGTACCTACTTTATGGAGTTGTGAAAATTAAAAGTTTCCCTATAGTAAGTGTGGAAATGACAGCTACTATTAATTATTTTTAACAACAGTGAAACATCACAGCAATTCCCACTAAAGTTAGAAATAAGATAAAGGTTTTTGTCTGTCACCAGTTATTTCATTCAGCATTCTATAATTCTTAGCCAGTTCAGTAAAATGAAAAATATATGAGGTAAAACATGTGGAAAAAAACTATAAAACTAATAAGAGTAAATGAGGATGGTAATAATCTTATCAGTACATGGTCATTTCTTTTTCTCTCCTATCTTAGTTTTGGTATCTTAAAAAGCAAAGTTTGGCATAAAATTATTCTAAAGTCTGGTATGCTAAGAGATGATTTTCTAATTTAGAGATATTTGGAGGATAATATTTAAATGTTTGGATTCTTCTCTAGGTATGTGAAGTATACACACTTCATAGGGAAACATTTTATCTTGCACAAGACTTTTTTGATAGATTTATGTTGACACAAAAGGATATAAATAAAAATATGCTTCAACTCATTGGAATTACCTCATTGTTCATTGCTTCCAAACTTGAGGTAAGTTCTCAGTTTATTCATAGATATATATTTATCCCAAACTTTTGTTTTTTAATCAACACATTGAATCTCAGAAAACGTTATTATTTTTCGTATTAACTCTTTAGGAAAAATGAGTGGTTTTGTGCCTCAGTACATTTTTTGAATGTTATGATGAGATTGGATAAATAAATTATCATAGTTCTCCTCTGTAGTGTCTGAGCCTATTAGTCTCTAGTTTATATTCCGGAATTAATATCTAGGTGAAATGTTCTATGGCTAACATTCTGCCTAACAAAATGTATCAGCATTGTCCTTATATACGTAATTATGTTCCTTGGATTCAATAGAATGGTCTTTGAAAACTAAACAGCCAATCAAATGAAAGAAGTGGTTTAGAATAATGGTCTATCCAGCCTAATACTTTTGTATCTGATGGTGCCATGATACAAGGCATCTCCTTTCCTGAGATTTTCTTTCACATAGTCTCAATCTACTTTTCTTAAACAATACATTATAGATATTATAAATACTTTCATCTAAAAGTTTTGAGGGTAGGATTGTGATATGTTAATTTTCTTAAATGTATTTTTTTTCTTCCAAATGTTTCTTTTGAGCTTTAAGAGCTATCTCCAAATTCTGCCAAATTTAGCACATAAGTTTGTGTTCAGTCTATCCTTACCTGAAATCATACTATTTCATATTTCTAGACTGAAAAACTGTTCTTTAGCCTGTTCTCCTGTGTGGCAGGCATCTCTTCTAATCCTTTGATCATTCTGGTTCTTTTGTGTACCAAGACAGACTGCTGTCAGCCAAACTGCACAAAATATTTCTTGATTAACCTTTATTTTGGTACTAGGGTAAATGAAATGTTTTTAGTTTCTAGACTTCATTTGTTGAGTGTCTTGTTTGGTCTGACCCACATACTAGGCAATCTTTAAATAAGTTTGAGTTTTTGTTTTTTGACTGAAATGACTGCAACATTCTAGTAGTTTAAAACTAAAATTCAAAGTCAATTCTATGAAAATGTCTTGATAATCAATATAGTTGCTACTTTAGATACCTAAATATGAAAAACATCTTAAACAAGGTTGTTTTGGCTATAGTAGAACTATTTTACTAAGATTTATACTTATTTTGTGAAGCTTTCCTTAAAACTGACGGCCACATGTGTGGTCTCATTTATAATTCTTTTACTCTCAGTCTCAATTGTGCTTAATAATATATTGTAATTTAAAGGAAATCTATGCTCCTAAACTCCAAGAGTTTGCTTATGTCACTGATGGTGCTTGCAGTGAAGAGGATATCTTAAGGATGGAACTCATTATATTAAAGGTAATAATAATTATGTCTTTATTTCTAGTTACAACTTAGTAGTTATGACTGAATCTCAAATACTACAATGAAAATAGTCAAAACTAAGGTTTTTAGTATTAGAATCCAGTTCTAAGAGGTTAAATGCATCAAAATATTGACAGTGGTTATGGGTGGGAGGAGAACTTACTTAATCTCTAAACTCTACTATGTAACGTAGTATATGTCCCTACATTCATTAACAGGCATTTTTTAATTTCATTAACAGGCTTTAAAATGGGAACTTTGTCCTGTAACAATCATCTCCTGGCTAAATCTCTTTCTCCAAGTTGATGCTCTTAAAGATGCTCCTAAAGTTCTTCTACCTCAGTATTCTCAGGAAACATTCATTCAAATAGCTCAGGTATTGACATTTTTATTAAGTGTATCTAATGTTACTGTTAATTACAAGTTTGTTTAGTGTATAATAGTCTTAAATAGGCTACACAACAAAATAATGGCACACTGAATTAATTCACTCCTTAATTGACTAGATGCATAAAATTCTGTCCCCAATATTTATACGTTGCTTAATAATTCTAGGAAACAAAGTCCTTAAACTTTTACAAGTATTTTCAGTCTTCAGGAGTCCAAAATAGATAGTTAAATATCTCTTTTTGATATAAAATGGGGAAAAGTATTTTTCAGGCAGTTGTCTTTAGACTTTGCAATGGTACAGAATTTTTCTGTGTGGTTCTTATTCTCTTTATATTTGAATACATAGGGTACCTATTTAAGTTACATATTAGAATTAAAATCATCTTGTTATGAGATTTTTTTTAAACTTAAGTTCAACTTAAACTTTCCTAGGCTAGCATATAGCAAATATTCTAACAAATATATTTGTTATTTGGCATTCTTATCAAAAAATGGGGTACTAATAACACCAAGGTCAAGGGTTCAGATCCCTGTATTGGCCAGCCACCAGAAAACCAAAACAATGACAAAATGAAAGGGGGGAGGCAGTGGCTAGAGAGGCATAGTCTAGATTAGATCATAATGGGTCTTTAAGAAGCCAGAACCTAGGCTGGCCCATTAATTCAGTTGGTTAGAGCACAGCCTTATAACACCAAGGTCATGGGTTCAGAGCTCTATACTAGTCCGTCACCACAAAAAGCAAAACCAAACAAACAAAGTCAGAAATCTATTCTATAGGCTGATTATTTAAACTATTGTGAGGTTTTAAATCAGGCAAGTTACGTTTTGAGAATAAGAAAGATAATTTAGACTGCAGTGAAGCAGAAAGACTAGAAGGAAACTGTTTATAAGCAGTGAGATTAGTTAAAAGGCAGTATAATCCAGACAGGAGTTAATACTCTGATTAGTTAAAGGAGGAAGGAGAATTCCATTCTTTCCTACTTCTCTTAATATCTTAGACTGCCGTATCTGCCATATACAAAAGTGAAAAAAATCTACATTCTTATTCAACATAGGATGTGAAAATGTTACACATGGAATCAAAGGCACAATGAGTATTAAGTCACTCAGGTAAAATTTGTGTTCTAAACCTAGTAAGCACATCATGAATACTAAAATTGGATAATCAATAAATACACTGGAATTGGTTCATTTTGCAAAACTTTCTCATAAAGGCTTATTATTCAGTCAGAATTCCCAACATCCCAGATTGTCATAGGCAGTTATACCCTTTTGACACAGGGTAAACCTTTGATAAACTGCTAAAATATGAAAGCAGTTTTTAGAGTTATATAATAGTAATATTTCACTTCTGATTCGTCTCCTATTACTGCCTTCTGGACCACGGGGGCAAGTATAATTTAAATTTTATTCCACTGGACAGACCTCAAACCTCTGAAATCTAGCCCTTTTACACTGTTCCACTGCTCCTGTTCAGCTCTCTTATTGCCTGGATTATACTGCCTCACTAATCTCACTGCTCATAAACATGTTCCCTTCTAGTCTGTCCACTTCACTGTAGTCTTTCTTAAAATGTAACTTTCCTGATTTAAAACCTTCCATTAGTTTAATCAGCCTATAGAATTAGTTTAATCTGACTTTTTAAAGTCCTTTTACGAGGGTACTTCAAGAAGTTCATGGAGATTCGTATTATCTTTTAATTCTATTTTTCCACCAACCTTTTGAAGTACTCTTGTATGATCTAATCTAGACCATGCCTCTCTCTAGCTGCCCCCACCACTTTTTGATAAGAAATAACTCCTTATTTCATATTTTTCACCTTAGGTTTTCTGAACTACTTGAGTTCCAAGAAATGTCCCTACACCTAGCACATTCTCTACCTCCCAATCTTCCTGGCTGCCTTTTCTTTGAAGATTCATTTAAGGCATCAGAAGCTGCTCTGTCTTCTCCAGTCTGGATTAGGTGCCCTTCCTGCTAGTGCATCAGACTGCATTGCGACAATGCTTTCCTTGTCTAGTTATTCCCTGCCCTATAATCCTAAGACTGGACTTCCTTCAGGGTGGTGGCTTATTTATTTTGGATCTCTAGAGTTTTAGCAATTCCTGGTATATGGTCCACATAATAAGTCCTCTAAAGTGTAGCTGACTAATGTTTAGTAGGGACATGTAGTCACGCATTCTCCTCCTTCTAAATTACTTGTACTTTTGTTTTTCCTTTGTTAGCTATTAGATCTGTGTACTCTAGCCATTGATTCATTAGAGTTCCAGTACAGAAAACTGGCTGCTGCTGCCATATGCCATTTTACCTCCATTGAAGTGGTGAAGAAAGCCTCAGGTAAGTCTATATTTTGTTGTCTTCTTACCTGTTCATAACTTGTACTGGGACTATAATCCATGAACTTTAACATCCAGCTAAATATGTATTTAAAACTTTAGCAGAAAAATTTA